TTAACCAAACCACGTATAAATTCCAGTCCGGAAATTCTTTTTCTTTTTTGTTCACCAGGCTCAATCATTCCGGATAACAACGTATATAAACGCAACTGAACACACAGCGCGCATCAATTGGAGTGTGAAAAAGGTCTCACACTCGAAGAACTTGTACGAGTCATTACATCATATCTGCAATGTGCACTAATAGCGAAACAAGATCAGTCGGAGCGTGTGCTCCCTTTAAAGCCTATCTACGTCCCTCTCCTCTTTGAAATACTCAAGGGTATATATCTTATGGAACTCGCTATTACCGTGTACCTAATTAATTTTATCGCGTTCATCAGTGGTTACCTGTACCTTATCGAGCGGCCGATATTCCGGAACTCGAACACGGCAGCATTGTTACACGGGAAACGACGATCCAACGAGAGTATGTATATACACACGCACGCACGCACGCACACATACATACATACATACATACGTACACACATAGAGGCGGATGCTGTGTGCAGCCAGCTATGAAACCTTTCGCCGAGAAGTAGGCGTGAAAAACCTACAATACGTCGATTCGTCCAAATATCTCGCCGCGACTGATTGGACTTGACGTTTTCCCGATAACAACCTTACATTCGCCCCAGTATCATCGTCCACCTGCGCACGACGCGTATATATCTCGCCGCGCTCGCCCGTTGACCTGGTTCCGTTCCGCGCTCGGAGTTGCGAGCCGCGGGACCGCCTATCAACTACCCAAAGATAAAACTTTCACGGTGTGTCCCGCTCGAAATCCACCGCGCACACGGGACCGACACGCGCCCATCGCGACTCGGAAACTATGTTATCAATGCGCCAACGTTGTTGCGTAACATGTTGGAGGAAGTGTAAACTCGTGTACACACCACGGGTCGCTGCATTCCTCCGCGAATCGACGACACACGACTGGTTTATCTCGAGGACAACCGTATCGGTGATTCGAGCAGAAGGGAGAAAAAGAAAAGAAGAAGAAGAAAAAAAAGAGACACTCCCGTTCAACGTTCGAGTGAATTATGAAATAAAACGACCGTGCTTTCAATTGATTCGCGGTCGATCGACCGATCTTTTTTTTCTCCTTTTCCCTTCGCGGAGCAGTAGTATCGTGTCACCGATATGACTCGACGAGTTTTGTCGAATCGAAAATTATGAAATGGTAACGTACAAAGCGAGCACCGCGTAATCTGTAGCTTGCTGTAATTTGCTGATTCGTCGTTGTTATTAATGGTAGATTGTTGTGCAAAGTAGAGCGGTCAACGATCATACACGGCTACAACTAGCGCCATGCGAGTGCTAACTACATATTAGACAACAGTGTTCCCAATATTCTTGATTCTACGATTCTCTGAAATCGGAATAAATGGGGAATGATTCTCTAATAATCGAAATAATGATAAGATTGACAGACTGAATTTTATAAAGTTGATAACCACTGAGTTGCGACGTACTGACACGCGCCGAAAACAGATAATGATGAACGCGGGTAAATTGGATTTAAAAAAAAAAAAAAAAAAAAAAAAAACGTGGCAACGGAGATGCTTAATCCGGTCATGCAAACGGAATCACACACAGGATTATCCAGAGTAATTCAATTAGGATTTGTAGAGTCAATTTCACCGCAAGGACGCCGTCTATTTACGTCTGAAGATCTGCAAAATAACGCCGCTTCGTCGTGCCTACTATCTATCGGCCGAATATGATTTTTCACTTAAAACATCGAATTGCACGTTTAATAGCTGCGTCGTTAAATTTTATGTCGCACACACGGTTACCTTACACAAAGAGTATTTCAATGCGCGTTTAAGCGCATCAATTTAAAATTGTCCGATAATTCATCTTGTCATTTAATTGCTCGCTTAAAACTGGCTATTTAATTTAATCTCATAAATTACAGCTCATTAACTATACAGGATGATTCGACATGTGTTTAAAGTCAGAAAGTGAGATAAGAAACGAAAATAAATCATGATTTAAATAATTAACAATTCATCTCATCTCGAATCATCTCGTACTACTAGTTGCAATATCGACTGAAAACGACAGCATATTTAGCGTTGCAATTTAAACGAGACAAGATCGGATCCAGCGAAGGCACGGTAATCCAATTTCCCGGTTTCTCGGTTAGTTAGAAATCAAGTAAACGGCAATTCGTTGGAAAGTCGGGTAAGAAAAAAACATTTCATTACCCTGCAATTTCTTAAAGGAGAAACGAGTTTCGCTGATCACTGCTCGTTAACATTGCCCGGACGGATCTCAACGAGGAACAACGACAGGGACCCTCGTTGAGCCTAAAGTCGTCGTCGTCGTCATTCGTGGGAGATCCTCCCATAAATTTCCTCTTCGTCGATGTGCCTCTGGGACGAGTGAAATGCCAACGAACGACACGCACGAGTCGCGCTGTTAATAACAAGCAAATCGAGCAACAAGCTCTGCCTACTTCTGCTCAACGCAATAGGAGTGAATTAATCGTTCGTTCGATTTCATATAGCGCAAGAGCGCTACACCAAGTGTGCCTCGTTCACATGTAAGTAGACATGTGTACAAACAACGCGGTTACCATTCTTTCATTTGTTTCATTATCACCCATCATTGTATATATTATCAGCTGTATATCGTGCCTCTCACTGCCAGATAACGTACGGATTCCGATAGAAATTATCTACCCGATCGTTTTGCATTTCACGCGCAAACAACAAAGAACGAGCTGACATCGTAGTCGTTATCGTGACTCGGACGATTTTCGCGATTTCATCGATAACTGTTTTACCATCGTTTTACGCTGCCGGATGGTCACGTGTTAACGCTTTCCAGCGAAAAGAAAAGTGTGTGTGTGTGTGTATGAGAGAGAGAGAGAAGAAAGGGAAGAAAGCAAGCGAGACGAAAATGTGCGGATTGCACAACGTTCCTTCGCGAAAACGATGTTTCACAATGGCGCGAGGGGAGAAGAACGGCGGTCGTTGTGCACGCGTACGCAATCCCTTGGCGAATTTTTCGCGATTTAAGAGGCGATAACCTGTGGTAATGTGTAATGTAAACGCACCACCGCGGCTGCGTAACAGGTAGTGCTCGCGTCCCGTTACCGAGATTCCCTCTTGGTCTTTGACACGCGAAAGATGCCGCGGTTGTGCCGTGCACGGAAACGCGTCTAATAACTCTCGCTGTATAAAACGGTTACCAATATCCTTGCCTATTGTTTTAGCTGTTCGTCCTTCAACCGAGAACAATTAGAAACGATTAGAGTGTTTCTCCTCTCGCGACTATGGGGCGCTGTAGAGCGAGACAATTTCACGGGTGCAACGCGACCAAGTGCGTGCATGCATTCCGCGTTATACGCACATACGCAAAGGGAAATGAAAAGAATTAAACGAAGAGGGGAAAAAACTGGACTGTCGAAGCGTTAACTGACCACACACTGCGACTCGATTATCGAGCAAGATGTATCTATTCTCTCATTGAACGCGAGTAAGACACGGACACTTCTTTCTTCTATTTATAAAACTGCAAATAATCGTGCAAGAAATAAAATTCAAGTGGATATGTTTTTTTTGTCACGTTTCTTTCGGGAAAGATTTTCTCGCAGAAACTCGTGTCAGTTTCAAGAATCTAGCAGGGATAACTATAGCCAATTACGCGAAGCGTACGACGCCTGGTCCTAGTTAAACGTGGCACCACCACGATTAGAGATTCTGTAATCTGTATCCGTGAGACGATGGTGTACAGTGTGCCACGCCATTTTTAGTCGTCTCGTACTCTTTTCCTCCTCCTCCCTTCCCTTTCGTCTCTTTGACCCCTTTCTCTGACCACGGTAAACGAACGTGACGTAATAAGACATTAACATTTCAGAGAGCTCCTGGTTCGTTAACCTGCCGATAATATCGAGGGCCCCTCTCTCTCTCTCTCTCTTTTTCCTTTTTTGGGTCACTCTCTTTCCGAACCGTTCTAGTTCAGACCTACTCGATCAAAGTACATATTTTGACTCTATCGTATCACACATGTTGCATTGTGTTACACTGGACTCAAAAATGAGATCGGATATACCTGCGTACCTCTCCGTTGCCCGTTTCTGTTACGATAACTTTGCGCTAGTTTTCCAACACACGAGTGCAGAGCAAATACTTTCACAAATATTTCAAGTAGGTGTCCGAGATATGTCGAGTTTTTTCCAGAGATACTGTTACAGTGGAAATAACGAAGGATCTATGACACCGAGAGTGTATAAACGCACGTATACCTTTCGATCGTGCAACTTTTTCGAACATTGGCGGACAGGGTCGAAGATGCGTGACACGTAACTTTGCGCAAAACATTCGAAACTAGTTTTAGACGATTGTTCGTCTAATAATCGCGTTTCAAGGTCGTATTCTTGTTATATACCTACATGGAATGAACATGGCGGAGTGTTAGACTCGCAGAAAATGCAAAAAGTTGTCCCTTAAAATATACACAACATAGAGGAGTGTCAATTACGTCACGGGTGTCAGCGTCTCTTGTCAATTACGTTTTATCGCATGCAGGCTGCGCGCTATATCGCGCAAGTATATATGTACTCGGGATAGATCGCGAATGTTTATAAACGAATCACGTTCGACCTTATACTTTCAGTCCTGTGCACAGGATCGGGGGAAATTCTGGCATACAAGAATCACGTAACACGTCAATGGAGGATATTTCGTTTAGGAATATGATCTCTATCCCAAGATTAAGCTTCACCTGCAAGAATTTTCTACTTATACCCGTGACTTATGTGCGATAATACAATTCTCGATTCCAAAAATACCATCTTTAATTTGTAAGAAACTCTCGATGGGAAAATAGTGGAAGGACAAGTGGATTTCACGCGGAATGCCGGAGGTTGCTTAAAAAAAACGGATGCTAGACTAGAAAGTGGGAGTGTACGGCGTGTTATACGGAAGGAAGAGTGAGGAGCCATTTTTACAGAAGAGAGGAGTCCACTAAGTGTACCGTTGAATAAAAATTACACGTACCGCTTTGCTCGCTAGACAGACGAATCCAGCCAGCACTCGACTTCCCTGTCCGTCCGATTGACTGTCATTTGTGAAGTTTCATACGCGTGTCAAACACCACGGGCCCCGGGTTAGTTGCCCCGTTACGATATTTTCGTACGTTTGTTCCCCTCCTCCTCCCGAGTTACGAGTTAAACGTTCCCTCTTCTCTTCTTGTCGCAAGGAGAGATGCGTCGACCATGTACTTTCGTACATACGATCTTGACGATTTGCGATGACGACGACGACGACGACGACGATGACGACGACAACAACGGCAACGGCGATGGTTAAGTCGTCGGTGATTGCCACTCGCGCACGCACTCACGCCAGTAGGATGTATGTTTACACACGGCACACCGCACTGTCTCTTTCTCGCACTCTCTCGTTTGTCGACACGATACTCTTTCCCTCCCGGAGAGAGAACACGGCGACGGCTCTCCTCTCGTACACCCTTCGCGGCTGGATTATCTCCACCTTTTTCGAGCTGTCTCCTCTTCCCCGTTCCTCTCTTTTTACCACCCCACCCGCCTGCACACCCTCTGCCCCTTCGATCCGACTGTACGAAGAGGAAACGCAAGATTTCCCTGCTCGTTCCTCGATGTGTAGCGGCCCGACACACTTCTACCTTCTCTCTTCCGTCGTTTAGCTCCGTCCTCGTTCCGACTCACTCTCTCTCCATCGCGATCGTTCCGTATCCCCTGTTCCCCCTTTACATGCGTTTTCTCTTTCTCTGTCTGTTCCCGTGGCTCGTCTCTCACCGTCGACTGACTGGTCGTTCCGTCGTCGTCCTCCTCTTCCTCCTCCTCCTCCTCCTCCTCTTCTTCTTCTTCTTCTTCTTCCTTCTCCTTCTCCTTCTCCTTTGCCGTTTCTCGGGCGACTTCTTTCGATCGCCTGCAACGGCGCACACGTCTCGGCCCGAGCACTCGCCACCACCGGTATACTCACACTCTCGCGGAATTGAATTTTCCTTCACCGATTAGATAAAAAAACCGACGGACACCGCGAGCGTCCAACGACAGACGCGCTCGCGACACCGTGACACGGGAAAGCTGAGAAAACGTACTCGTCGGACACGGGCCTCTACCAACGATTCTCTGGCGTCTGTGTGCTTACGTTGCCGCCACCTGCAGGCGACTGCTGACAAACTACTGCCGCCTTTAAAGACCGCGAATATTTGAAACAGCCGGAGACTTTCTCGCGATATATCACGTAAACGATTCAACTGTAGAACGTTTGTACGTTCGTGGGAAATTTGAGGATGCACAAGCGTACAGGAACGTGTACAAAGAAATGGCCAATTTCCATTTGCAAGAAGGCTAATACGTGACAACGAATGTACATTAATAGTAGAATTATATAATGATTACGTAATGAATAATTTGTTTTTTTTTAGTACACACAGTTGGCTAGTTGTGCCAATTGATATCGATATATGGGTGAATCGTTGAAAAACATTGTCGTTATTTTACCGACCGAGTCGAGGCGAATGATTCCGCAGAGGAAGAGATTGTTCAGGGACGTACCGACAGATGTCCACGGTTCGTACCGCAATTTTATTACTGGCGGAATAATTTTAATCACACTTGCCCTATTAATTACACTAATTACGCAACTCCAACTTGCCCGATAGTGAAGACGTATCTTTTCGACTCCAATCTCTACGAGTCATCATGCCATTTTGACTCGAACGAAACTATCGAAAACGACGAGCCTGGTACTTCTTATATACCCAAAAGTCATTCTTATATGGCCGATGATAAATCGCGTAACTATGTATTTCCTCTGAAATTGGTCTACCAACATTTCGCGAATGCCACGCAATCCGCTAAATATTCCTTCTACGTGGAAACTAAATTTTCTAGTAGGGCCAGCGCGACGCAGCCGAAATAAACGCATTTATCTCACTCGAATGGACGTTTAGCACATTCCTCGCGAAATATATCCACCGTTGTTCCACTTTTCCCCCGAGGGCCGTGTTTCCACACGTGAAAATAACTCGCGAATTAGTCATCGTTTCCATAAAGCTCGCAGAAAGCTCATCGTGTCGCGACGCAGACGCATCAATTTTCCCCGGGGCCGCGATTACGCGTTCAGCCACCTCGTGGCACGTGGTTTCTCCCGTGAAAATCGCAAAATTAACACCGGTCGTTCGGAACAATCGCGAGTCAACGTGGAAATTCACCGCGTGAACGAGTAAAAATTCCGCTGGATAAACGAGCGTTGTTCGACCGATCGACGACGACCAAGTCGATTCACACGAAAAGACGACACACGTCCGCGGCGAGGCGTTAGCGCGCGCGGCCAAGCCGGCTCGGCGCCAAAATCAGCTCGCCAGTCGCGCTTTCCGGTCGGTGTTTTATAAATACTGCAGACAGCCGAAGAGTGCAGTGAACACGGGAGTAGCTGTAAAATCACGAATCCCGGCGGACACGTTTACAGTTACAGCAGCCGAAAGGAGCGAAACTCGAGTTTCAACGCTTCGAAAAGGCAAAAACGATTCGGCGAGATTTTGGAACGCTGTGAAGTTGGGAGATTGTCGAATAAGTGTCTGTGATAGCGGTGACATTTTCGCGGATTAATTGTGGCCCGGGTTGGCCGAGCAAATTCTTGGGACCAAGTGCCAAAAGTGCGAGCGAGTGCGAGTGTGTGTGCTCGGGAATCGGAGTATTCGGTGAATCGTATTATCCGGTCTGGGAAAGTGATAAGAAGCCTCTAACTCGGGGAAAGTGCGATAAGAAACAGTAAAGTGATTGCTTAGGCACCAGTTGAATCTTTCATGGGCTTTTTTGGGAACTTTTTTGCTACTTTCTTAGGTGAGGAATTAAGTATTCGAACCTATTTCTAATACCAATTAAAGAGAACCACTTACATTCACATTGACGAGTGGAAACTTGTTAAATTAGAAAATTAAAAGAAGTTGTTGAATCATCGCTCCCTTTCTCGTTGAAGATTAAACGACAATAATATTTAATATTTTAATATTTCAACACTCGATAAGATAACGCAAAATCTCAGAAGCTTATCTGCCCCACGGTTCGAAGAGAAATAAAATCGACGTAGATACTAGAGAAAGGGAGTTTCACATCCGGTGAATATAAGAACGATATAGCTAATGAAATTTGGCCAAAGACGAAGAATCCGTATGTATCGGTGTTTCGTTCGTCGTGTTTCAAATTGCGCAACAATTATCGCGAATGAAAAGTACAATGGCGGACATTATCGAATCCAGTTTCTCCAGTTGGAGAAAAAATATGCCCAAGCCTGCGCGTGGCAATTGCAAACCGAAACAACTTATTCGGCCCAATAATATACAACGACGATTTATAGCCAAGAATCTGTAACGCTATTTTCGTCGTAGGCACGTGTACTTTGCTCTAGCAGACGATCTTGTCCGAACGCTGTTACACTCTTTCCTCTAATTTCTCCTTCAATGTGAGAAATTCATCTAAACTACGTTGAATTATTGCTCGATTAATTTATCCGAATTCTTTCAAGCAATTCGAAATTCGTTAAATTACGAACGATACAGAAGACGCTACTTAGTAAAACTCGAGTTTTATAAAAATGTAAATTCTGAATTTCGTCCCGTCCAATAGTTCCAATTTCCAATTTTTCCAGAAATTGTGTGTTTAATGAAAGGTAACTAAAACCAACTCTGGCACTCTCTGTAATTCACGCGATACCATACATCTTCAACTTCGTATTTTCACGGTCTTCGTTCTGTTTCGTTTATTTTTGTCTGTCTAGTATCGATACTTCTTTCTTTTATTTCCTTTTTCATCTTCGCGTCGGCATGAATGTTTCATGGTCTGAATGCGCCGCTCTGTATCGTAAAAAAAAAAAAAACGCGTTCTCCATCGGAAGTGGCTGAACATCAAACGACGCAGGCTCGATTCTTTTCACGATCTCTGATACACCCTCGCTCCAAGCAAGTACACATCTTTTTCCTTCGAGACGGCGCGACGTGACGAAAGCGAAGAACCTTGCCCAACGCAACGCGTCATTCACCAAACTCTTCCTCTCTTCTCCCCGCTCTCTCCTCATTTTCTCTCTCTGTTGCTGCTTCGTAGGTTTCTCTTTCCCTTTCTCTTCTCATTCATGAGGAGGCCGTGTCCACTTACGAGCTTTGTAACTCCGTGAAAACGCGTCGTTAGCCTGCACGGGGCGCACAAAGGGCGCATTATCTAAAACTTAAGCTTTCGCTTTGCGGCCACGCGGAAGCACGTGATCGCGGTTTAAGTGGCTTTCGGCAAACTTTCCCCTACCGGCTTCGCCAGTACTTTGACGAACACTTTAATTCTCGACAGGATCTTGTTGCTACAAAACGCCGCTAGCCTACTCTACGAGCGGAGCTTCGAACGCGTTTACGTAACGTTCGCGAAACAGAATGGAAGTTAATCGGACGAATTGGCGCAACTTTCTTAGACAATTGAGAATTATGAAAACTACAATCCTATTTAGTTGATTTCGACGGTTACGACGAGAAGACAAATCTCGGGAACTTGGAACTTTCTCTCGGCAATTTGTGGAAAATTTTAAATAAAATTATTAAATCGATGATTTATCGCCATGGACGTTCAACGTCTTTTCGACGAGTCTTGAAATTTTTTTATTCGTTCCAATTTGAGACTAGCTGTGAATCAACCTACGCACGTTCGTAGACCGTAGGGTGAAACCTTAGTTCTCTACCCTCGAATGCATGCGAATAAACGATACACGTTTCGCTCATCCATCACCGGCCGCGATTGAGAACATGCGGCTAGGAAAATACAAACGACAAGAAATGAACGCGAAGCATGTAACCAACCACTCGAGTGGTATAAAATGTGACGCTTGTAAGAATTACGGTTTTCATCGTTATTGACATTTGTTTCGTTTCCGATCGAGTACTATGTGATACGATTTTCCGTGCAAAACAATTCGTCAAGAAACTCGAATTTCATCCAACTTTCGCTTCTGACATTTACGTTAATCGTCACTGGAATTCGTCAATCTTCAATGAAACTTCATCCTCAAACTCGTAACTTCGACTGCAATCATTGCAGGGTGAATATCCATCGACTTTGCGAAGGGATCAAGGATTGATCGACGCGAGGATCAAGACCAACACGCGACAAAGGTGAACGTTCACCGCGAGATGATAGAATGTGAAGTTCGCAATCTCCTGGTCGACCACAGCGGACAGTTAAACGCGACGTTTGGCTTGACTTCAGCTTCGTGGCAAGCGATTGACGACCGTCCGTCAGAATGAGCTTAATGAAGAAAGCCATCGGCGGGTCCATTCACAGGATACGAGAGTTCGAGCTCGAAAAGGTAACTCGATTGACGAATCGAATCTTCCTCGTGATACGACCAACCCCTTTTTCTCCTCCCTCTTTCCTTCGTTTGCGCGTTCGTTTCGATCGTTCGGACCGAGCCCTTTTGATGCTCTCTCTCTCTCTCTCTCTCTCTCTCTGCTCTTTCTGGGTAATATAATTTTTCGATCGACCAGATTGAATGAAGCTGTTGGTCCAATCGAATGGGAAGGATAAACACGATAGACGTAAATTCAGAGTACCTTGACTGAAATTGCTCGATTACTCGGGGCTTTTACCGAGAATTCCTCCGATTGTCCGTATATTGCAGTCGAATTTAATTATCAAGCCCCCTGTTTGCCATCCGATAACTTTCGCGTTCTGGAAACGACAAAGATTGCTTTTATCATTAGATTGCATGCAACGCGCGAAACGTTCGATTCGTATTGAATTTTGAAAGAAAGTCGAGGCGAAACAATAGAATGATCCGCGACGATACAATAATCCACGAAGATAACGATATTTGCTGGGGACTGAAAGCTTCGGGAAATTTGATGTTACGACCCAATGAAACGCGCTTTTGCTCGCTGGAAAATGCAACGTGGATATGCATGCATATGCATAGGGTGCAAGAGCGGAGGACGATTTCCTCTTCCGTTTTCTGGCACTAAACCAACCTTCTCGCTCGATGCTCACTTTATGACAGTGCGCGACGCGATTGTAACCTTTAACACCTCGACAAGTTGCGCGAAACAGCCTGTTTGCGACCGCTCGAGTAATAAAACGGCGCCGGTCGTTTCCATTGTTCCATCAAGCATGTTCTGGCAAATCGTGTTTCTCCCGGCGAGTTTCTCCACTAATTTCGGAATACCTGAGAATCCAGCGAAGAACGAACGACACGCCGTTTACCGCGGTGAAGTCTATGACTCTGTTGGCGCTTTGCTCTAATGATTGCCTGTCGAATGAATATGTGTCGCCACGTGAATGAGACTTCTTTTCCAAGGTTTTGAAACGCGCTTCTCGCGTAAATCAGCCCGCAATAGTTACACGACGTTAACACAGTTTCGCGGGTTTTGTAGCTTCGTGAAAATAGCAGGCGATAACAGACGACGTGATTCGTTTTGATGGAAGAAGTTTCAATGGAAGCAAACACTGGGTTTTACAGTTTTACAGAGTGAAAGCGTCGAATTTCACAGTTTCGTAGATAAAACAAACTGTGTCGTATCTCGTAAAAAAAATTTCATCGCTTTCATTGGTTAAATCAAGAGAACTCTCGCACTAAATCACAGAAAAGCAGAAAGCCATTCGCGATTCCCACAAGTCATTCGAGAATTTTTTCTCAGCGTTCATGGACATCGAATCCAATCCTTATTCGTGATTTCACTTTCAATAATTGAAGATCGCATTACGCTTTCTGGCCGTTTTAAAGGTCGTTTGACGTTTGCAGCGCGCTTCACTAAATTATGCATCTTCGTGGATCCACGAACAGCTTCTGGTCGGAGTAAAAAAAAAAAAAAGAATCTTCTACCCTCGGACCGAACGTTATCCATCGATCTCACAGCAGAATCGAGTCGTGCCTCGAATTAAAAATCGACAATCTCGACCAAAAGCTGTAGATAATGTATGAGAGATTATAGCATCTTCTTGTGAAATATTTTGCACGTTAAAATGTGAGCGAGACTCTGGCAGATAAAATATTCTCTTGATATTCTCCTAATATTGTTCTTTTAATAATCGTCTTGCCCGAGTATATGTACATCTCTCTCGTTCGAAGCAAGCCTAAATTTGACAAATATTTGCTAAACAGGTGAACCTGATCGACGAGTTCGATATCCTGCAAATCGTCGGGGAAGGATGGTTCGGCAAAATCTTGCTAACCGAGCATCGGAGCACCCAGACCGAGATGGTGCTCAAAGCGCTGCCAAAGGCGTACACCGGTATCTCGGACTTCTTTCGCGAGTTTCACTACGGGCTGCACCTGGCCGCGCACAAGAACATCATCACCACCTACGACGTGGCCTTCGAGACCGCTGGCTTCTACGTTTTCAGCCAGGAGTACGCTCCACTCGGTGAGAGTTCCCTTCACGTACACGTCAGTTTTCAGTTTCATCTTCACCTCACGAACGAATCCCGAAAGGAAGAGCAACGAAAGTGACAAAGAGTGTGTGTTATCGCAAAAATTATATCTGCACTCGACGAGTATTCCTGGTACTATCAGCGATTGATTCTTCGCTGATAAGATAGTTAGGCGAATTCTGACTCACAGTCTTTGAGCGAGAAATTCAATTCGAACTTTCCCAATGGAATCCGCGATGAATGGGGGATGAAACGAAGTAATCGATCGCGAATGCTTTATGGTTTCGACGATTTTTCGAACGTGGATTTATGTCGTGATGGTGGTAAAAGTAATGTCCTTGGGAACTCAAATGCGTGGGATAATGGAATATTTGATGCAAAGGAATCTTGATAAAGTTGCGGGAAAAGGGGGAGGGGGGAGGAAGTAAAGGCCGGCAAAAATGTCGAGATGATGAATTGACGGTCCTTCTTGAAATTCCAATTTCCTTTTCGCTGAGTAATCGTCTGTGCTGAAGCACACCGCTCCTCCCTGACAAAATATCGTTCCATCGTGATGGTGATTGCAAATTGTTTCTCACATTCTGCGTGAATTTGGAAGCATGCCCGCAATTGATGTAGCGTCCCACCTTCTTTGCACTTCTTCCTCGTGTTGTACGCAAAATTATCGAGTAGCAGCACAGCACCGTGTTCAATACGGTTGTACACAAATTTCAGGAGATCTAACGTCCAACGTAACAGAGACCGGTTTAGGCGAGCTTCACGCAAAGAGGGTGGCCAGACAACTGGCCGCGGCGGTGCATCACATTCACAGCCGCGAATTGGTGCACCGCGACATCAAGCTCGACAACATCCTCGTGTTCAGGAGCGATTTCTCGCGGATCAAGCTGTGCGACTTTGGCGAAACGAGAAGAATAAACACGGTGGTGCGACGGCACAACGAGTGGCTGCCATACTCGCCGCCCGAGGTATTGCAGATCGACACTGACGAAACGTACAAGTAATTATACGATTGACCATTATCAGCATATATCGTGATTATCGTTTATCTCGACCTCGTGCAGATAAACGTCGTCCCGAGGTTACTCGTCAACGCGATCACTTTATTTGTGATAACTTTCAAACCGATTTGAAATATACCCGAGATAAAAGTTTCGATTCAACAGTATATAACAAGTTCGAGTAATTAACATTTTTAAACAAGTGTTGTGTCGAAATTGGCACGAGAATCGCGTCCAGAAGAATTTAGGAAAGTACTTATACACCGGAGAATAAGTAATCTCGCCGTTGACGTAACCGGTGTCCAAATGTTCGATCGATCGACGATATGAAAGATACATCTCGTGTTTAGCCTGTCCATTCTCTGAAAAGACGAATGGAACGTAATACGAACGTGTTAAATTCACTTTATTACCCGCGTTAAATTCAGATAAATTCACTTTATGGCCGCGTTAAATTCATTTTATGTTTGGTTCAGAAAGGGACATATACATAGCTCTTGATACATATATTTTGTAGAAAGCTTCATTATGCACTATGCGCACGAGTCGTTAATTTTGAATGAGATTTCTCTAGTTCGTTGTAACTCTCGGGTATTTTTGCATCGAATCGTACAGCAACGAAAGCAGACTGATCGTTCGAGGCTACCTCGTTGTGGTCGCGGGCTTGCGTGATCATGAATGACAAAATATGCAGGCGCGCGCGTACATCTTATTTACGTTTGACGTTTTCAGAGCTCTCACGTCGCACGACGTCTGGCAATTCGGCATTGTCCTATTTGTCTGTCTGACCGGATGCTTGCCGTGGCAGAAGGCGGCGTTGGACGACCCGCGTTACACCAGATATCAAAACTGGCACAACGCGACGCTCAACATAGCCAAGAAACCGAAATTATTTCAGCTGATCAGCTCACGGGCGCAGAGGTCAGTTTCTACTTGTGGGAGGGAATCAGGCGCCAGTCTGATTAAATTACTGGAATGTTGCAAATGATCGAGATATTTCGCAATTGAAACGTGATTAAACAACAAATTCCAAAAGTTTATTTCGAACATTTATATTTCTTATGGAATAATTCCAAGCCGTTAAGGAATTATTCATATTTCGAGAAATTGAGAAATCTCAAGTATCTCGGAATTATTCATAGCTCGAGAAATCGTAGAATTTACATTCCCACGGAGTAGTTTGAAGTTTTGAAAGCCGGCAAAGTTCAATTCTCGTTCGTGTTTGATACGTTTCTAGATTCTTCGTCAATATTCTTCACGTTTCATTATCATTTCATTTTAATTCCGTTTCTGCCAATTCTCATTCGTACGTTCCTATTTTTTCCAAAACTTCTGGATCAAGGCGCGCTTTCAAATTTCAATATCCCGATTTCTAATTGTAGATCGTAGAATTCGCCGAACGAGTAACATTAACCGGTGGCGCGCGGCAACCTGGCTAAATAGAAAGTTAAAAGTGTAAATCGGCGATCGTTTGTTAAACGCTCGGCGAAGTTCATGAAAAGGGTGGCGTTTTCAGGATTGATTCCACGCGTTAAAACAAGCAGAAGGATTCACTGCGTGTAACAGATCATATCGTGCAAAGAGTGATACCGAGAAACGTTTCCATTTTAACATCTCGGTTTGTTTTCGAAAGAGGCGCGAGAGCGATTGAAAGCGAGCCACCCCTGGTTTATTGTCTCAGGATACTGAACGGAGTCGTTAAACGTAGCAACGTGACCACCCATTAAATTTACGAAATTACGTGTAAAAGGAAATATGACGTTAACAACGATTACAATTTCTGGATACGTTCTGAAATTTCCGCCTGAAATATTCTCCCCTATAATTATTATTTAACTATCATTATTTTCGTTTTATCGATTCTTCACACTGCTCTGCAGGATGTTCAAACGACTATTGGACCCCAAGGCCGAGAAGCGTCCCGTCAGCGTGTTGGAGGTAAACAAATACCTGGAGGACAGGTGGTTAGCGAAACTCGGCACGGAGAAGGCCCTGAACGGTAACGATCGATCCGAATTAAAGACCTTCTCCTCCTCCTCCTCTTTCGCCCGTTCTCTTGTTGACTATCCTCGTTGACTTGACGTTTGCACAGGTGGCGCCGACGAGAGGGACGAACTCTGCCCCTCCATGTACAGCTTCCACAGCTCTCTCGAGGAGAAGAATCAACTGCTTCACACCCTGACCACGTACGGCATCGAGACAACGGTGAACCGTGCTAAGAAGAAGGACCGAATCAGAGAATGGATCCAGGCGAGCGCCATCGTGGAGGAGTACGAGGAGGACGAGTCGGATCTGAACGAAGACATTGCTCGTATTTACGAGGACGAGGACGAGGAGCCCAGTTCGATGAAAGGCAGACACTTTCCGGAGACGCGTCCGATGGTGAACACCGAGTCCAAGAGACACAGCAGGAACAGCAGAACGCACACATCCTCGGCGCGGAAGAGGCAGCCGATCAAAAGACAGCCAACCGAAAGGAAGATTCCATTTGCGCCTCAAGTAGCCGTGGAACGAGAAACGATCGCCCGTTTCGCCAGTTTCCCCAACGGCGATCCTAACCTCGCGGCGCGTACCAACGGGACGATCGGCGATGCAGCAGCTTCGCTCGCGCTACCTCTGAAAACCAGCGTCGAAGATCGGAAATCGTTGGCCAACGGCCAAGCGAATAACTCACCGGCGAATAGTTCGTTAGCGAATAGTAGTAGAGACGAGCCTCTCGCGGCGGGATACAAACCTAATCTAGCCGAGGGGAGTGTCGAACTGGCGAGAACCTCGCAGGATATCCAAGATCGGACAGTCTCGCTGATAGACACGATCGGGGATCGAGGTTTGCCAAGGAGTCCGCAGATCCCCGCTAGAAAACATCGTTCGCAAACCGCCCCGTTTCCGGCCACGCCGAACTCGAACGAGAACGAAGAGGAGTCTGCGAGAAGAACGCAGTCGGCCGGCGCGCTGGCTGGCTCAACGCAGCCAGACAGGTTGAACATGGCGATCGGTCGACCGGCGGAGAGGTCAGGTGCTGCACCGGTAGCGAACGGCCAATCGTCGATGGCTTGGGGCGAGAGCTCGACCCCGAGAGCCGAGCATCGATCCCTCGCGCAATCAATGTCTCGAGTAGAAAACGCACCGGTGGTAATGCTGCCTGTGGCGGCAGCGGCGGCGGCGACAGTTCGAGTGGAGAATCAATCGGTGACTAGAAACGAGAAATCTGGGCCCGTGCCTCTCGTGTCGCAATCCGCCAATCCTCTCACCATGTCCGTTGCCTCTCATTTGGTCATGCAGAGCTTCAACGCGCTGCAGGGGATTAACGCGGTCGCCCCCGGGGACAACAACAGCCCGGCGACGGATTTACCGAACTCGCCGAGGAACAGTCCGTCTTCCACCTCTAGCAAGGCCCTCACGCCGAAGAACAGTCCGACTACCACTCCCGCGAGAACGTCCACGCCACCGAAAAATAAGATCCACAGGGAGGAGGCGATGATCTACAGGAAAGATCCGTTCGAGCACTATGGAATCGCGCAGGGGGTGATACTGAGAACGGAGAGCGCGCGACGGAGGGGCTCGACGGAGAGCGGCAATAGATCTGCCAGTAATTGAGAATCGATGTTTGATTTCGCTTTCGCGTGACACGGAGGTGGACGGTTGTAATGTCGAACCGGTGGGGATTGTGGATGGCATGCGATGCCGTGTACATCGTGTGTTCTGGTTTGGTAACGGTTTACGCGTCGTGTATCTGGTTACGCAGCCGGAGTTTGGTGGAGGAGGGAAAGTTGTTCCCAGTTGTGTTACTCGATCGAGAAAACCGGTGATTGAATATCTTTTTTTAAATGAATTTGAGGTACATTGGCGAGAGAAGGAAATATTCTTTTTGGAGATGGCTGTTGAAGAAAGACGTAGATTAGATCTTGTTCTAACTCTCGAAGTAAACCTGTTTTATCATATTCCAAGATGTAATACGTGTATTTTATATAACGCTGAGGATGAGCACGAAAATATTCAACGACATAGAATAATTACAATTACACGAGTACAACTTGGTGCCTTATTTTTCTGAGAACATTTCCACTAAACGATTTGACGTAAATGCGACAATTATGAGGAACGATATTAAGATGGTGCAGAGAAAACGACCGAGACCGAATAAATAAGAGAAAAAAAAAAAAAAAAAACGACCGAAAAATACGAAGAAACTGGACAGAAATCGCTTAACGCATCGATTCGTCGTCTATTCGATCGTCGTACCCATCCAACTTTATATTAAACGATACAACCACATAATACTGCATCGTTTAGACTTGGACTGTCCCGTTTGTTGGACACGAGCCATGACCGATGCCCATTACAGCGATTCTTTTGTTCCCTCATGCTGATTCTTACGTTGCATAGCCAACATAGATAAAACGAGCCTCGCACAGTCTCGATAATTTATGGATTATTGTTTCCTTTATCGTTTTCTTTCTACTGCAACGAGACACACCGATGAATCGTCCAAGAGGACATAAAGGTAACGATCGTCCTTAATAACAGACTTCGAATAAAAATAAGAAACATCATTCGATAACTGACATGAAACGCACGCGATAAAAGAATTTCCTTTGACCCAAACGAAAAAAAAAATCAGTTCCTTGTTAAGACAGACTAAGAACGTATAATTATTTCAAAACACATTAATTTCTTAATTTAATAACTTTCCAAATATTTTGTTTAAATATCTAATACCCAAGCTTATCGAATGCTGCCACTGGCCATAATCATTACACATTTGAACCAGTATGTCATGTATTTCAGGCACAATTTTCGTGTCTATGATCGTCGATCAGCCAGGGACAGCAGAGGTGGACAAATTTTGGCACGTTGCTTCCAGAAAACGCCAGATTCTTATTCTCGACAGGAGGACTTTCGATTTTCCTTGGGAACTGACAGTGCTGATCACGATCGCGAGATTCCAAGTCGACGTTAGGCTAATTGAAATGTAAATATTACATTGCACACCGTGGACTGGTTTCTCTCCATGCGGTTCGGAGTAATCGAAGGTGTGGCTGACGGAATGTGACGCGAATTCGATTGATTGTGATGTAGAGGACACGTAGGATCTTTTTTGAATTGTTACAATACATATATATATATATATTGGATCCGCTCCAAATGATTACAAACGCACGAAGGATGTACAATTTCATAGTTGTGAATGGTTAGTTATTCATATATTCGCGTACAAAGTTGAAAAATTTTAACGATTATCTGTATTCCACGAATAAACGAGGATAGAGCACACGGTACGACAACGACGACGACGACGACAATTTAATATATAGTTTACGTAAGATTACGTAATGTGGTATATATCGAATCGTTTCACCGATATCGTTATTTCTCCGTTGGAGATATTTATTTTACGTTCTAGGCAATTCATTTCTCAAAAGTAAAAAATCCGATAAAACGCGAGTGAAACGCGAAATGCATAGCAATTCTGAGGAATGATAACAGATGGCAGTCCAAGGTATCGGAGCATAGAGGGAGAGACATACTGTTACGAGATAGTATTTCCTCGGCAATTATTAAATACAGATGTGCAATAAATCGTCGTACTTCCAGATTTAACGCGGCGTATTTATTCGATAAATATTTATCATCGCGATATGAACAAAATCAACCGAGAAACACGTAGAAGCGTTTCTTAACAACGATTTATTTGCTCGAGTATAAATAGATTATCCAAACAGTATACTTTATAGGGGTTTAAATTGTTTTTCTAAAATAAAAATATCTCATATAAAATAAAAATATCGTCATATTTGAAGAAATAAAAAACATTTAATTAGTGGATATACGTTTATAAGATGTATATTATAGAAACACGTTTAATTAACAGCTAATTAACTCTTCGAAACTGTATACATTAAATTAAATATTGGTAGTTACCTGAATACTTAATACTTCGTTAATAATTAAAAAATAGGAAATTGACGCATTAATTATTCATTGATCACCATTAAGGATGCAAATTCTTTCGTGCGCTTATCCTATAAATTTTAATTTCCTGAATTATACTAAGAAGCTTTTCTCTAGAAAAATCGAGCATTCTTCTGGTGTTTCGCAAGAGGAAAGATTCATCATACCATCGCGCAACATCATCATCACGCACAGAACCAAGTGAAATCTGCCTTCGTCATCGACTCGACTATTAAAACTAATTTCAATTTCATTTTTGCAAAAAAAAAAAAAAAGTCTAAAAGTCTGAATTCGATTTCTACGAGGCAAGGAGATCGCTAAGCAAATTCTAAAACCAGGCATCGCGAAACGAATCGACCAGGCCAATAATATCTCGTCGATTAGCGAGCTCGATGAACGAACGAACCGCGAGGGGCAGGACTCGCAAAGTGTAATTGTCTCGTGATGATAAGCACTCCTCTCTCTCTCTCTCTCTTTCTCTCTTTCTTTCTTTCTTTCCATCTTGTCTGAACCAGTCTCGCCCCTTTGTACGCAAGCAACGCGTATCTCGTTGCCGCGTAATTAATTACGAACGAAAAATAAAAAGCGAAGAAGAAGAAAAGAAAAAGAAGGCGAAAAAGGCGAAGCGATACGGCGACTGAGCTTGGAAATGCTCGATACTCTCGACGCGCGTGTCCGTGGCTCTCCTCGCGTCGCTTTCGACTTCGTTCTCACGATCGTCGACGTAGACGTAGACGTAGACGTAGACGTAGACGTAGACATAGACGTAGACGTAGACGTCGTCGTCGAGGCGACGCAGGAGGGCTACGAGGTACGTGTCTGGCGATATGGAAATAATTACCGGGCGGGGCGAAGGCACGAATTAATTAAGAGATACGTAAGTAGCGTATATTGCGCACGAGATGCAATTACGTCGTCTTTGAGTCCGCGGTGTAGCCAACGCACCGGAGAGATATAACGAAGTGCAAACCGACAGGCGGCGATAGGCGCTTTGACACCATTTGACACCGAACCGAGCCAAATGAACCTTCGTCGTGGAATTCACGTTTATCGGTTTCTTATCGGATTAGGCCATTAGGCTACGCGAATTATGGGACTTTTTTTTTCTTCTTTTTCGACTTCTTCCTTGAATATATATATAAAATACATGTATACATATTATATTTTTATATATATTCTAATCTTATAAATATATTCTTTATACCAAACCAAACAGAGACAAACCACTACGTTTGCAAGGATTCACGTGTACGAGCAAAGTCGCGACTGCAATCTTAGACCGGCTGTCGATAGCGAAAACCGTCGCGATCGTTAACGGAGCACCGAGAGGAAGTCGAATAGATTGTATATACGGGGAAAAGGGAGAGATAGAGAGGGAAAGACGAGCTTAATTGCTCGTGGCTGGGACGAATTCGGATGATTGATGGTTTCATGGATTAGATGGATGGCGTTTCAAGGCTAGCCGAGTAACACGGGTTCCAACTGTTTTCAACGACGCTTCGAATCCCCGCGTACCGAGTGTAATGGTGGAATGTCGCGCTGGGTTTTCATGCTTTTACGATCGTTGCAATATTCCCCGGACGTCGTAAAATTTTCCCGACAACACTTTCTACAACAGTTTCGTCACGTTCTGCCCACATTCTTAGCTTTTACGTATCTTAAATTTCTTACAAAATTACGGCTCGCGTGTTTATATAAATAATAGTAAATTGTGAATAAAATTCGGAAACGAATCTGTTTTGAATTTACTCGAAAGAGACTAGACGTCTATTTCACAATTAATTTGACACTGTCATCTCTCTCTCTCTCTCTCTCTCTCTTTCTTTCTCTCGTCGATTCGAGAAACTCTCTCGTTAAATTCATTTTTACGATATTCATCCCCGAGCAAACCTCGCTACCGACTATATTTCACATCCCAATTAAACTCTCTGCTCAAACGGAGCCACCCAAGCGCAGCGGCCGCGCGCGTTAGGTCCGCCCAGCACCCAATGCATCAATCTACCACCAAGCACAAGCAACACGCCAAGCAAAAAAGCCATGCATACATTCAGAGCGTCGACCTTGCTCGCCAAGTGAATCAGGTTCACGTTCACGTTCTCGTGAGACCCCGGGGAACGGGTTCCCAATCCAGGATTCCCGAGCCGTCACCTTCGGCCAGCGAAAGCAAGGATGAAAATTAATGAAACCACAATTGGCGTTAATGGCTTCCCGTGGCACCAACCGAGACAGAGAATGAGAAAGACAGAGTGTACCATATATATCTGTGTGTGTGTGTGTGTGTGTGAGAACTCCTGCATCCTCGTTACGAACGAACACGGCGGTTTTCCAGGGGACCAGCACCGCGTTGGAAACGCGGATAATGCAGAAACGCGCGTTGCATATTTGACACACGCTTGACTCGACTACATTTCTGTATTTCGAGCATTTGGGAACTCCGATAACCGACAGAGAGTTTGGCTCTTGGACTTACTCTACTCTACCATCTACATTTCTAACAATTATCGTAATTGTCACTGAAGAAATATCGCCTGAAGGATGACACGATGACGTTGGTCCTTAGTCACAGAGCGAGCGGAGTCAGTCGCGTGACTTTTCAACTAATTGCAGCATCGTTCGTTTGGTTGACGGTTCGTGAATCACGGCGAGGAAGGAGGCGATGTGCGAGCCAGCGACAGATTTGTTTGAAAGGCTGGAAGAACCCGGGGGATGTGCAAGGCTAGCGACACGATCCAGATATCTCGAATTGGTTCGAGAAGATGGCAGGTTCTGCGCGTGGTACGCGTGGCTCTATTTATAAATGGGCGACTCGCGCGTGTGCGGCCACCGGTAACACGCTCCCGATGTTAATTCACTCGATTCTCGGTATCAAGGGCTGCGATCTTGTCTTCAACGCGTTAGGTCCTCGGCCTTGACGTCCCGTGTAATTACATCGCGTGGTCGCCGCGCGGTGAATCGCGCATCCGCAAAACGAGTCGAATCGGAGTAACGTAACGCGCGCGATGCTTTTTAATGAAACTTCTCCTCCCCTTGGCTCCCGACGAGGCTCCAACGTGCCCGGTGGTTAACGATATGAATGACGAAATGAAAAGATTGACCGGATTGACGCGAAGTTTGTTGTTAACAGTATACACGAGCAGAAATCCTCACTCGTTGCTCGAAGGTGGTAATTACAGTTAATGAGCAAGCAGATGGCAAGCAAAGATTTCGAACGTGAACCTCTGAATTCTCGAAATGATCGTGCATCTCTGTTCGAACGAGTTTTATACATGCTACGATGAATTTTTTCGTGCGTCGCTTTCAGTTCGAAGAGAATATACCGAGTTACGTGCATGTGGAAATATCACTGTATCAACGGAGGAGGAGGTAAGCGATTGCGAGCGCGTGTTTACACGAACTTCCTGTTTCATTTTCGGTGCTTCTATACACTCCCCAAGTTTACCGGGTGAAACCGGAAACACCCTGTACATAGCGTGTTTATCGAAGCGGACGTACATATAAGATATTACATTCTAGACTCAACAAACAAATATTTGGTGCGATGAAAAACTTCGTTTTTTACGGGACGCACTATACCCGAGATTTTTACGAGATTCGTCCGTTAGAAGATAATTAAATTAATTGACAATTATCGACGTGCAATTTTTTTACTTTTAATCCAGTTTAAAATGAAATGAAAAGTTTTTCTATTTAATCAACAATCCACGATGACTATTAAAATATATTTCCATTTACTTGTTGGAATATTTTTGAAATAAAGGGCAAGGTTTCCTTTCCTCTCTAGACATCAAATTTCTTCCCCAATATTTCACACTGTTTAATTCCTAAATCGACCAAGCACACCTGTTATAGTTCCCTCCCTCAAACCAACCATCCCTCGTCAAATAAGCCCACGACAAAATAAATCAATACGCCGTTG